GGGCAAGGCTGCGGAGACGGCAAGCAATCCAAAAGTGAGAGACACGTATCTATCTATGTATCTATGTATCTATGTATCTATGTATCTATGTATCTATGTATCTATCTATCTATCTATCTATCTATCTATCTATCTATCTATATATCCGATGTATGTATCTTTTAAGCACACATTTGGTGACCATTTACGCCAGTTTCTCATGGAGCAAGCCACAGAGACCTCCCGAGCAGGGAATACAGGGCCGAAGGCCTCACGATTGGAGCTGAGGAGCAGCTCAATCAGTTGCCCAGCTGGTCCGACGTGGTGAAAAATCGTTTGCAAGCCGAACTCTTGGAGTTGGTGAACTCCGCCTTTGGAAGGCCAAGTAACTTCAGACGTTGATGGCAAACATGGTACATGGATTCTCGATGGAGTGCGGCACGTGATTGAGGGTTCCGTTCTGTATTGGCAGGGAATCCCGAATCACCCCTACTTTCCAAGTGCTTACATTGACTTAAGTCACTCTGGAATCGTGCCCAGAACTTGGGCCAGCATGCAGCTGCATTCTGAGTGCAGCCCAAGAAGGAAACCAGATTCACCAGGAAAGGTCAGAGCCCATACGTTTGTCCGTCGTTTTCATCGCTCGTTTTGGGAGGCGAGTTGCAGAAACCTTCGAGCCGCTTGGAGTTTGTCGAATTCTGGTCCAACACTGTTTGCAAGAACAAAAAGGAATAGACAATTGCGCTGGCAAAAGCTAGCAGTGACATCACAATGACTTGACTGGACCTTGTCGCAGACTCATGATGTGTTTATTTTGTTTAACTTGTGCTTACCTGGACCTCACATGACTGGCCTGTGACCACGATTTGAGGTGTAGTGTAGAGAGGTATAGAGGATTCCAGGGGTTCCAGAAGAATTGTGGAATCCATGTAACAAGGGCATCGCTACTAGTAACAAGGGCACAAGGGCATTACTACTAGTAGCTAGAAGCTACTAGTAACAAGGCATTACTACTAGTGCACAATATTTTCTTTTCCCCTCAAGCATTGTGGAATGAACCTGAGGATTGAAGTGCCGGAGGAATATCGCGTGGCTTCAGCGAGCTGAAGCGATTCGAGTCTCTGGGCTTTAACGGCTTTAGGCTTTAGCACTCTCTAGCTTTGCTCCGCTGATTGACAAGACCATCACATACTGCCCAGAAGACCTTTCCAGATCATTAAGCATCATAAAGCCTCAACAACATAGGATGCTGCTAGGAGCAAAGGGCATCGCTACTAGGAACAAGGACGCTACTAGGAGCTTTTTGCCAAACCACCAACGACCACCACCACTGGCATCGAGGCGGGACCGGCTGATGAGTCATCGGTCCGAGACGGACCACTTCGGCGTGCTAAACCAAGCTATCGAAAAGCAATCGGACAGTTTCGCTGCATTTTTGTGCAAAGGCCAATTAAAGTCCTATGTGGGGGCTCCAAAACAGCCCAACATAGTGCTAACCTCCACTCCTTTCCGAGCAGGCTTGGAACTCGGGTGAAGCTGGCCATTGTTGTGCTTGCTTTTTTGCTGTAATGTAATGGCAGTTCTAGTCGTCCCATGTTGCCGGCCAGCATTCTTCACCCAAAGTGCCAACATCCTTTCTTTCCCTCATCCGCCAGTGCAGCAATCTGTGTTCAGCCAAAGATCATTGTTGCTAGTGCATCCAGGGCAGCATAGCTTTGCATGACACTAGCTTTGCATAGCTTTCATCGATGCACTTCCGGTTGAGAACTTTGACCTCTGGTCATATAGCCTCCTCCATGTGCCGGATGTCGTGCGTCAGCGTGCGCACTGTACAGATCTGGGTGCCGGAAGAGAAAATGTACACGCTTGCAGTGCTTGCATCTAGCTTATCCTCTTAGCTTGCTCTAGCTTGCTCTAACCACTCTAAGAAAATGCGGAGATGCACTTTGCTCCTAGCATTTCAGGGCCCCCGTCGATCCTTTGAAGCATAGCAGCTGCATTTATATCTCCATTTACTTTGGGACACACCAGGTGGCGGTTGTGAAAGACACCAGCTCTGGGATTGCGCCCTCTCGGAGGCTGGAAAGGTAGGATTGCCAATCCCAAAAGTGTTGTCTGAAAGATCAAGAAAACTGCAAACAATTTCCTTCAGAGCCAGGCATTGCAAGCTCCAAGAATGTTGTGCGAATAGCCAGATCAGTCCACTTGTGGGCCTTGTGGGCCCTGTGGGCCCTAGGATGTGAGCTCCACTAGGGTCACTAGGTCCTGTCGACACGCTAGGCTCCAGTGGGAGGTCACTGCGGTTGACCCAAGTGCGACCGTCGACAGCCTCGGCAGACGGTCGACGTCGATGGGGAAACGATGGCTTACGACTTCGTTCCGAGAGGAATGGGGGAAGATGGGGAAAATGAGATTCGCTTGATCGATTCATCCCATGAGAAGGAAGACCTTCAAGCAACAGCCACCTCAGGTACTTGTGACGTGACTGCTGCTGTCACCCAGAATGCTGCTCTCTTGCAGAAAGAGCTCGAAAAGGCCCGACACTCGGCCTGATCAGGAAGAGCAGTTTTGATGAAATTATGATTGATGACCTTCTTAAAATGTTCAGTCATATTACTTTGCATCACGCCTTTCAGCGTAGAACAGTTGACCGTAGATGCTTCTTTAAAGCATAATTCTGAGAAGCTTTGATCCCCATCCCGCCCCTTCGATGCAAAGATTGGCGTAGGTTCTGTCTGCGAAGCGACATCAGACAGGCTCAATCGCGTGTTGGGTGGCACGGCGAAGAGAACAGCTACTTTTTGCCTGGTTCCTTCATGATTCATGAATTATTGTACACCGAGCGTCTCGTTGACTTGCAGCTTGCCACTACTACAAAAGCTGTAACTGCAGCAGACACAAATTCAGACTAGGTGGATAGTGAATCAACTTTGTGATATGACGAGCTTCGGACAAAAGCCTGCTTGCTGCTGTTTTGCCTAGTTTCGTGCATTCAGTGTGGTGCTTGCTGGACTTTTGTGATGATTCCATGGATCTCTGACTAATGATATGTATCTATAATTTTATAATCAACTTGTTAGACAGTTAGACCCCTTTAGAGCAAAGAAGATTGATACTTCGACGAGCACCAGGTTGCCGCATCCCAGTTGTCATCCCAGCAACTTGACAGCTTCGACAATTATCGCTTATTGCACGCGGACTCTCGGGGTCTTTAGAGCGGACCCCCCAATGTTGAACACAACTGACCACCGCTCCAAGTGGAATCTTCTGGCTGGCAGGCCAGATCCCAGATGCGATCAGGGAAATACCACGGCCTTTGCGATCCAGGGTGCGCCACTGAAGACTTGAACAATTTGAATCAATGTTTTGACGTGGTGAATCTCAATAGTCTCAAGAAGCACCACGAATCGATCATACTGATCAGTGCACCTGCAAGCCATGTGTTTGTTCTTCATGCAACACGCTGGAAATTGGATACTCTCCCAAACCTATGCCGTACAGAACTAAGTCCTACTCGACTGGAGGTGTTTCCGCTACCGGGAGTTTGTCTCTTACAGGAACTGTTGATGACACAGTTTGGACTCAGAGGCCGTGTATCTCATGCCAACACATGGCCATGACTCTGAACTAGTACCTTGTTACTAGTAGTAAGGCCAGGAGCTACTAGTAGCGTCCTTGCTCCTACTTGTAGTAGCGATGCCCTTTGTTACTAGTAGCGTTCTTGTTCCTAGTAGTACGGCCAGGAGCCCCTAGTAGTGTTCTTGTTACTAGAAAGAAAGATTGTCAAGGTAACTCGGCCAGAGGAGTCTTCTGGACGGAAGTCCTGGGGCCATGCCGCAGCAAGGGGATCTGGACGAGCTCGGGAAGCCCAGCAAACAACCATGCCGCATGTCTACCGATGAAGAGGGAGGTGTTCGTTTTTAAATTGTTGGAGCACTATAGCAAACTCCTGTTGAGAAGCAGCAAGAGCTGTTTTTGAATTCTCCCCAGTATTTCGATTTCAAAGTGCACTTGCCCAGCAGCCTGTGTGAACAAAGGCCTGCAGATTAAGGTGGTTGGCAGAATTACAGCAACTGATCACACTTACAACAAGACCGAACATATTCCAACCGACCAGCGTTCAGAGTCATCGCACACACTCTTTTCGAACCAGTATCCTGCGCTGCCTTTTCAATCTATGGGCGCACCAAGTCTTTTGGCAGTTTTAGCCCTCACCTTTACCTGCGAAACCCACCTTTCACCCAAGGGATTTCACAGAAATGGGTCCAGCATTAAGCAGACCAAGACATTTCTTGAGAAGATGAACTGGATATATATATATATATATTCACACTTGCATGTAGCTTGCGGGTGCAAGTTTTATGTTCACTGAAGTTCACAAAATGTCCCACCGGGACATTTTGGCTCAAGTTGGTGGCAATCATCCACAGGATTGCACCTGAACTTTTGGAAGAAACTCCCCAGTACATCGTTTTTTTGTGGAACACGACGCAATGGCGCACCCGATGGAAGCGGAGTATGTGATGATTGAGTCGTTCAGAGACGCCCAACCAGACGATGGGGATTCGGCTACGGTCAGTAGCCCGCACATTGAGAGTTTGGACCAGGCAGCGGATGCTGCGTCTACAGCCCTCCGTCATGCGGAGGCGGAAGGGGCTCGGGGCCTTGCCGTTTTTGGGCAGCCCGTCTTGGTCTCCGAGCTGGACGCTCAGGAGCAGATTCGCCAGCTGGAGCGCCACATGCAGGAACTCAAGGTCCAGATAGCCAACCAAGAAGATGCGAACATGGGCGTGGACCTCCTGGGGCTGGATGACCCTGATGATGGCGGCGCTGGCAACCCTCCCGCTGCACCTGCCTCTGGCCCAGCTGCGGGGAGGGTTGCGATTGCGGCAGCGGTAGCACCGACCTCGAGCGCTACTACACTTTCTGCAGCGGAGGCCCAGCCTGCGCTTCTCACAACCATGGCGGAACCACGGCCGGCTGCCCAACCTCAACAGAGGGAGGAAGACACCAGTGAGCGAGGGGGCTTAGGTTTCACGCCCCCTGCACCGGCAGGGTACTCGGTAGACCCCTTAGATGCCATGGCGGCGCCAAGCAAGAGACCGGTTCCACAGCCGATGGAGGAACCATCTTAAGACACCCACCTTGCCGGGCTTCACGAGGGCCTCAGGAGCGACCGTGGCCTCGATCCCCTTGCCAATCCGGTTCATCCCAGTGCGGGAGCCCGAGAACCACGTCCGGTTTGCCATGTTCCCGGACGCCTTTCCAGCCATCCCGGGCCACCTGGCGGGGCTCCTCACCTCGTGCACAGAGAAGGAGATGGTCCAGCTCTTTGACCAGTTCACGGGCTACCCACTCTCCACGCCGGTGGTCACTCGCATCATCGAGCAGTACATCCCCCTGCGGGCCTTGGCCATGCAGGAAGCATCGAGGCCTCCACCGGCCTGCAGGGGACATGCCCTTCCACTCCATGTGTGGCAAATGCATGACACCATGGCCGGACAATGCCACCAGGTGCTGGATCTCCAAGCACGACCAAGCCATCGAGTACCAGCGGCCTACATCCATTATGGAGGTCGGCGACGAGAGCTGGACGCTGTCTGGCGACGAGCTGCTCCTGCCCAGTCTACCCCAGGTGCCCTTGGCCCTGAGGCGACAGGCATGGACCCAGAAGCGGAGAGGCACTTCAAGCTGTCACACTCCATTGACGGGAGCCAGTTTGCCCAGGCCCGGCGGCCACTTGCACTGAGGAAGAGAGGACCTTTGCGGACGAGGTCCCATCCGTCTGCAGGGTCCACATTCGGCAGGAGATCCTGTCGGCTGACTATGAGGATGATGCCGCTGAGACCACGGAGGCCCATCGCAGAAGGCTCGAGGAACAGCGACCGTCTCAGTCCTTCCAGATCTTCCATCCGGAGGCGATCAGAGGAGGCTGCGCGCGAGGAGACGGCGGACCAAGTGGCCCAGTTGCAGGCCACCGTCCTGACCCCATTCAGGAGCGCATGCAGTCAGTCCCGGACAGCCAGGTACGGAACTCTGGCTCTGACCTCCCACGGAAGGTCAACCTCTTGGACTTCAAAGCCGCCTTGAAGAAACGGATGCTGCAGGAAGCATCCGGCAGCGCCGAGGCCTCCCTTCAGGCGGCAGTCACCTCCATGGAGAAGGCCAAAGCGGCGAACAAACAGATCCAAGACCAGGGCACAGCCTTCATGGAAAAGTTTGCCCTCAACCCCTTGGAGAACTCGGCATGGCCAACCGACCTCCAGCACAAGCTCCCTGGACTGGCACCAGGTGCCGGACCCCTCGGACATGTTGCAGCACTACCTTCCGGCCATGAGGGCACTGCAAAATGGCCAGAACCCATGGGCTGAGCACCCCAAACTTCTGGAGGAAATGCCTAATCTCAAGCACACGGTGGCTACCGCGGCGCCTGCGGAGGCTTCAACTCCTCGTGCCATTGGCCCAGCGGTGACCGGCCCTGGCATGGCGACCCTCAACGAGGCTCTGAAGGTGCATCGTGGCGAACTTCGAATGTTTGGTGGAGTCTGGCGCTGGGGAGTTTAGTCCGCCCCTCCCGGACTGGGCACAACCCAAACCTGGTGCACTATCAGCCACTCAAGGAGGTGGACCGATACCGGGCATTAGAGAGGCGGACTCACCCAAGTTCCTTCGGCTCGGACATGGTGGAGCCCTTCCATTACACAGACCAGGAGGTGGAAGAACACCGGCGTGAGGGAACTCGGCCACCACTGGGGTCCATCCTGTCCATTTGGTGGGCCCACGACACCGCCAAGGATGAGAAGTGGCGCCGGGAGAGCCGCGCGTGGGACTTGAAGTCCCTCATCCACATCTACTCGACGCGTTACACCTTCAAGTACATTTACAGCCTGTGGTGCAGTCTTCCTCTGGCCATCGAAGCCAAGCAACGAGGCAAAGATGCCCCGGGATCCGCCACAAAGACCCGGAATCTGAGACGCACCGAGGCACACAAAGAGGCCAGCTCATTTCTAGCCGCCCTGGGCTTGGACAAGCCTACGGACAAGGAAGAATGGCGCACGGTGCTCCGAGAGATGGGCTCCTTCCTGGCCACCAAGGTCTTCCTGACCAACTGCCCTGCGCCAGTGATGGAGATGCCTGTGGCCCCGGTGCGCGACAGCAAAGAGGCAATGCGATTCCGGGCAATCTGCGATGAGCGGATCACCATCCCGCTGGACGCACTGAAACAGTTCCCGGAAGTGCACTCGAAGCTGGTGGGCCAACTCCCGCAGTCGGCGATGGTGGATGTCAAGGTCAACTGGCGCTGCAATGTCACCCACACTTGGGCGGCGGAGGTTCCGGCTTCAGAAGCCTACCCACTCTATGCCAAGCTGCACTACTCCCATGATACCATCCTGGCACTGGGGTGCACCCCACCCCCAGGTGTCTGGCCCTGAGGGGGGCTCTGCACCCATCAAGGGCGACAATCGAGGGTAGCGAACAACATGGATGTGGGCATCCAGCAGCTGGACCATGGCAGTGAGACCTTGCCTCCTCCGGCGGCGCCGGCCAACGTGGCTCCCTCAAGGGCGGCAAAGACCGAGGCCGCAAAGGGACGAGGCCCGCAAGGGAGGCAAGGGCAAGGCCCCAAAGGGCAAAGGCAAGGGCCAGTGGCCAGACGCTTGGGCCTTCAAGGACCCCAAAAAGAAAGCCTTTTGCCGACTACCATTTGACAGGCACCTGCCCCGGCAGCTGCGGCCGGTCCCACGGCTGCCCGGTCCGCCAAGGGGGCTGGGTGTGCAACGCGTCCCCGGACAAGCGCACCCCGGATGAGTGCCCACATGCCCCCAAGTGACGCTAGGTCGGTCCAGGTGCCCGTGGCCCTGCTCCACCTGCGTCCTCTGCGGCACCGCGCGTGGAACCCCACAGGGAGGACGGAAATGGTCCAGGTGCCTGCTCTGGCCCTGTACCATCCATGCCACCCTCCAATGAACCGAGGCCCTCAGCGCCCGGGGCACGGACCAGCCCCACAGGGTGCACCCGGCAGCGGCGCCCAAACCTGGCGTCTACCAAGGACACCTGCCCACACCGAGGCCACTCCAGCGACTGTCGGGGACCCAGCACCTTGCCCAGGGACGAATAGGAACCTGCCCGGGGCCCAGACAAGCACTCCCCAGGTGGAACCTGCCTTCACTTGGATGACCGACATCCCGGACAGACTGCGTCGGCGCCTTCACTGCCAGGACGGGTTAACCGGCTGCGTTGGGAGAACCGGCTGCACTGGGAGAACCGGCTGCAAGGGAACGTGTCTTCCCACCATTGCCGCACGGTTGTGGC